CCAGGTACTCCGGCGGGTAATGTTGGGGGGGGGGGGGTAATCGGCTTCCCTAGTGCCATCATATCTTCATCCCTTGTCCCCACCAGGATGGCAAAGTGCACCTGATCACCCTCCTCGATGAAACCACCACGGCCGAGTGTCGGCAGGAGGTGGCCATCAACCTGGTCAAGCTCTTCCTGGGCCAGGGGCTGGTCAAGGAGTTCCTGGATCTGCTCTTTGAGCTGGAGCTGGCAAAGCCGTGTAAGGCTGGGAGCTGGGGCTGGCGCGGGGGGGGTGCAGGGTGGGTGACCCCTGCCTGTCGCTGTCCCTGACATGCGACCCTCCCTGTCGTGTTTTGCAGGCGAGCCCAACACTCTCTTCCGGAGCAATTCCCTGGCCTCCAAGTCGATGGAGTCCTTCCTCAAGGTGCTGCGCGCTGCCCCCGGCATGGGAACGTGCTCTGCCCCCCTGCTGGCCCGGCGGGCTGCACCCTGCCCGGAGCAACTCCCTGGCCTCCAAGTCGATGGAGTCCTTCCTCAAGGTGCTGTGCGCTGCCCCCGGCATGGGAACGTGCTCTGCCCCCCTGCTGCCCCGCCGGGCTGCACCCTGTCTGCGGCGGGCCCCTGCTGGGAGCTTTGGGGTGAACCCCAATATTTTCAGGTTGTCCCAGCTCCGTGCTGCCCCTGCTGGTGCCTGTGTCACCCCCCGCCCTGGGAGGGGGGTTGGCTCTGGGCAGGAGGGATGCCCGCAGGGATCCCTGGCCCTGGCCTGCAGGGATGCTCGTTGCTGGGCGGGGATGTGCCAGGAGGTGGCTGGAGGCTGCACAGAAAGAAACAATCAAAGTAACCCTGGGCGGCTCTTAGCAGGGGGATTTGGGGTGTCTGTAGCGGGTGCCGCTGGCAGAGTGGCAGTGGTGTCCCCAGCACTGTGTCCCCTGCTCTGTCTCTTGCCAGGTGGCCGGGATGCAGTACCTGCACGCTGTCCTCGGGCCCACCATCAACCGGGTGTTTGAGGAGAAGAAGTACGTGGAGCTGGACCCCAGCAAGGTGGAGATTAAAGACGTTGGGTAAGGGGCAGCGCTGCGGGATGCGGACGGAGGGGGAAACGGCAATCTCCCGAGGGCCCCCCAGCCCCCGGCTACCTGGGGGAGCTCCTGGCCGCCATCGCCAAGTCGGCCCCGGCCTGCCCCGCCATCGTCCGCGCTGCTTTCCGCCAGCTCTTCCGGCGCGTCAGGGAGCGCTTCCCTGAGCACCAGCACGAGGTGGGCAAGAGGGGAAGGCCCTTGGGGGGATGATGGATGATTCGGGGTCCTGCTCTCCCTCGGGGGTGGCCGCGCTCTGCGCCAGGAGCCTTGGCCAAGGCTTGGCATGGGCTACGGGACCCCAGGGTTCCCCTCTTCGGCAGGGGTTGGGTGCTTCCCACTGGGAACGGTGCATGGGGAAAGCAGGGCACGCAGCACCGAACTGCAGCTCCCAGGAGGCCCCACAGCAGTGGCTCAGAATCATGAGACTTTCTGCTTTCAGTTTATTTGAAAATTGGGGAATTTCCCTTGGAGATTCCCAGGGGATGGGGGACTGGAGGCATTGCCCCCCATAGCTTGGAGGCCCTGGGGAAGATGGGGCTCATCTTTGCAAGGTGAGGCTCTTTTGGCCCTCGTCACCACAATTTCACTCCCACCCTATTCGCAGTCGCATCCCACATAAATATGGGATTCCTGCTCATGCCGTGGAGGCAGCTGCCACGGCCTCCCCGAGGCACCAGGGAAGGAGCCCCAGGAATAAATCAGCATGTGCCCTGCCCGGGGAATGTCAGCCCTCGTGTGTTGTGCCTTCACACGTGGCTCATGCCCTCGTGAACATGTTGTATGCCTTGTGCCCTCATGTGCGTCCTGTGCCCCCTGCGTGGCTGCAGAACGTGAAGTTCATCGCCGTCACCAGCTTCCTCTGCCTCCGCTTCTTCTCACCAGCCATCATGACCCCCAAACTCTTCTACCTCCAGGAGAAACACGCCGACTCCCGCACCAGCCGCACGCTGCTTCTCCTGGCCAAGGTGGGATGGGGACACAGAAAGGGTCCCTGGCACCTGCTCTGGGTCACCTGGGCCTGTTTGGGGAGGGGTGGAAGGCTAGGGTCCTGGTGCTGTGTCCTCCTGGCCAGGGTGCTGCGTGGCCCTCCTGGGGTTTGCTGAGTGCCCAGCCGCCATGTCCTTGCGGGGCTGGCTGGTGAGGAAGGGCCAGGACACCTGGGGTCTTGTGTGGTGCCTGCAGCTCTGACTCTGCTGTCCCTCATGGCTCCAGGCCATCCAGATCGTGGGGAACATGGAGGCGGCAGCAGGCCGGGCCAAGGAGGCCTGGCTGGCCCCACTGCAGCCCGCGCTGCAGCGTGGCGTCACCCGGATGAAGGACTTCATCACCGAGCTGGTGGGCATCGAGGAGAAGGAAGGTGAGGGAGGTGGCTGTAGGGACGGGCGCAGCCCTGCGGGCTCCCCCTGACAAGCACGGGGCTGTTCCCCACAGAGCTGGACTTGCAGAACGCCCTCACCCTGCAGACGCTGGTTGTCAAGGAGGGCCCACTCTTCGTCCACAAAACCAGGGGCAAGGGGCCGCTGCTCTCCTCCTCTTCCAAGAAACTGCACTTCTCCCTCACCAGTGAGGCCCTCAGCTTTGCCAAGACCCCCAACTCCAAGGTATGGAGGGACGTGTCTCAGTAGGGCTGGCGTTGCATGGGAAAGGTGCTGGCAGAGCCATGGGCCCCATCTTGGGGACGTGTGCCACCCTGGGGTGCTGGGCTCTGCATTGCATGGTGGGTCAAGGCTGGCGATGGCGACGTGGCAGTGCCCCATAGCTCCCTCCCTCCAGTCCTTGGTGGCTCTCAGGTGTCTCCAGAGGCTGCAGGGAGGGTGCTGAGCCCCACTTTTCCCTCCAGCCCTGGTGACAGAAGAGCAGCTCCATCGCACTGTCCAACATCCGGGCAGCTGAGAAGGTGGAGGAGAAGAGCTTCGGCAGCTCCCACGTGATGCAGATCGTCTACGTGGACGAGGAAGGGCAGCAGGAGACGGTGTACCTGCAGTGCAAGGTGGGCGCGGGGGGCC